CCGGGAGCCCGGCGGGGCGGGGGCGGGGGCGGCCGGAGGACCGGGTTCCCGGGTTCCCGGGCCCGGCGGAGCCAGGCGGAGGCCCGGCGGAAGAAGCGAACTTCCGGACTCGCGTTGTGGATGACTCAAGGCCCAGGAGATCGTAATTTATTTAAGGCTGTTAAATAGGCCCTTTTACCCTTTCAAGAGGGCTTACTGATACCTTCGTTTCTCACTTCTTGGAATATCACGTAAAAACGGAGTCTTGAGTGTCTAATATTGACTGTCGGGAGGCATTTTTACAGCTCAAGACGGGAACTGGCTTGACGTCTGAAAACTCATTTAAAACGGGGAGTTGAGTTCAGAACCAAAGGAAACTGCGTGATTAGACATGTTGGGAAACAGGCCTCATGAAAACGGATGTGTCGAGAGATGAGATTCTCTTGGGACTTTAGTAACACGATCTTTTTAGAAAACGAATTTTAAGCTAATTTCTTGTTACGGCTGTAAAGGCTAATGCTTCCTTAGTTTGACTCAACGTTGTGGTCACATAAGCCGTTTGAGAATCTGGGAAGTTCCCAGGAAGAAGATACGAACAGCTTATGGGGGGCTTGCGGACGCCTGTCCGGGCCCCACATTCCCTGGGAGGGGTGCCTGGGTCTCAACGGGGGAAGAGTTCAGTGATGACAGTTATGGGGAAAAGCAAGCCATCTTCAGATTTCCTGCCTTTAAGTTCAGGAAGTGGTCGGCTATTTCTGTAGTAACTATAAACGATCACTTTTTCTCCTGTGTTTTTTATTTGAATTAAGTCACTTTACTTTTCTAGCTAAGACTTCTCTCATCCGTGTGTGCTGAGGAGACTCAGATGTTGGCCTCAGCTCTTAGGCTGAACTCCGCAGATTGGCCCATGAGAACTTCTGCACTGAGACAAAGGAGAGGATCTGAGAGAAACCAACATCTATTATCCTGGGCTTGGCAACAAGGAAGAGGACAGGCAGTGGAAATCCTGCAATCTGAAAAGCAGACTGAAAGGTATTTAAAAAATCCACGTTGTGATGGGGTAAACATTTTATGGTAGACTCATCCTTAAAACACTTGTTTTTATTTTTAAGTAGAGGATTTTTCAGATTTGTGGGTAAGGTCATTTTTCTTAGAAAGGTAATAACTGCATATAGTGAAGTGCGAACATATAAAGAAGTTAAAGCAGCTAAATAGCACATTTTAAATTTTTTTTTAATTTTTAGAGGAAGGGAGAAAAAAAATTTGTTGTTCCATTCATTTATACATTCATTGGCTGCTGCTTGTAATATGCTCTGACCAAGGGTGGAACCGCAACCTTGGCATATCCGGAAGATGCTCTAACCAACTGAGCTATCCTGCCAGGGCTGAATAGCACATTTTTTAGTCTTCCCCAAGGTTTCTGGAGTAACAAGTTGGTACTCTAGAAGCTCCTTAAAGTTTTGAGTTTTCCTTAATGAAGTCTTATTTTGTTTCCATTCACTTACAGGTGACAAAGAAGCTGAAGATGGGTGGTGGAGAGAGGTATAACATTCCAGCCCCTCAATCTAGAAATGTTAGTAAGAACCAACAACTTAATAGACAGAAGACCAAGGATCAAAATTCCCAGATGAAGATGGTTCATAAGAAAAAAGAAAGAGGACATACTTATAATACATCAGCAGCTGCATGGCAGGCCATGCAAAATGGGGGGAAGAACAAAAACTTTCCAAATAATCAAAATTGGAACTCCAACTTATCAAGTCCCAGCTTGCTTTTTAAGTCTCAAACGAATCAGAACTATGCTGGAGCCAAATTTAGTGAGCCACCATCACCAAGTGTGCTTCCTAAACCACCAAGCCACTGGGTTCCTGTTTCCTTTAATCCTTCTGATAAGGAAATAATGACATTTCAACTGAAAACCTTACTTAAGGTACAGGTATAAAATAAGATAAAGTACTAATGTTTAAACTGAGTAATATTTCAGGGTAGTTGACAATTGTTTCACACCAAATTCAATACTCAGTAATTAATCTGTTAAACCCCACTAATTATTGTAGAAAATACAGACTTCGTCTTGTTTTGTGTTGCTGTGCACTGTGATGTAATGGTAGTATCAGTGCCACTTAAAATAATTAAGTTACTGATAATTGTACTTATATCAAGTGTTCTCAATTGAGTAACTTTTAAGCAGAACTACTCAAGATTAGATTTGGAGAATGTTAAAGGAATCAACTTTTTAAACTCTTGCTTGTTGGGGGTAAAGTACTGATTAAACCGAATGGTGGTGAATGTGGAAGGGGCAGTAGGAGCTATTTAGAATGAGACTGTATCCTCCATTGGCCCCATTATATGCAGTGGATAGGTGACTGCAACAAATACGCCAAAACCATTTTTTATAGAAAGTTATTTGGTGGTCACAGAGTAACTTTTAAAATAACATTTTTGCATTATAGCACTGCATAGGCTATTCTGATAGTGATTGGCCTCAAATCATCCCTGCAAAGCTTGCTTAAAGTAGGGAGTTATATAATGTGAAAGTACCTAGGAAAGAAAGAGCCCTGTAAATACATGTAATATACTTGTAGCATATGTAAAGTTTTACCATTCATCTTAACGGAAATAAGAGTATTTTTAGTATGAATTCACTAATGTAAGACCATGGACTCTTTTTTACACTATGGCCTAATTTTAAAGGTCCAAAATAAAGTTTGCCCTTGTGCTAAAGTGCCAGTATATGTATAATTGATCTGGTTATAAACTATATTTCAAAGTAAATCATAGTGTCACTGTTTTATATAACTGAAAAGGTTTTAAAGCTGCTAAAACACTTCCTATTTGTAAAAGATGTGAAATGCAGTATGGGACTATTTTAATTGTTATTGTTAAGCGTAGCCCAGCTGGTGTGGCTCAGTGGTTGAGCATTGACCCAGAGACCAGGTGGTCACCAGTAAGATTCTGGGTGATTCCAGTGGAGAGTGGACAGGAGGTGGCCGATTGATGTTTCCCTCTCTAAAATCAATAAAAACATTAAAATAATTTGATTGTCAGTGCCCTACTTTCTAATTTGGCAGCTTTTTTTGGATATTTTCAGGCAGAATGACCAAGTTATATTTCTCCAAATAAAGGTGAGCTAATGTTGCCCAACTCATATCCTAAAGGCAAGTTTATGTTGTATTTAAATCTGCATATATGAATTTGGAACACAAAATTAAAAATAAAGCTTTTTCTACCCAGTACTTTTTTTATGTTACATAAAATATTGCTATGACTGCCTACTACTTCTTCTTAGAGTGCACATAATTAACCCAGCTGAAGATCAGGTATGGTTTTAATTACCTGAGACATCCCCCTCCTCCCCACTCAAGACTAACAGCAAAAGGCTGCAAGCAAAATAAAGCTGAATTTGCTGAGTAAAACGGGTTTAATTACATCTCCTAGTCTACCTTCTAAGGTGATTTAGGTTTATAGAAAAAAAATTAGCACAAGAATTCCTAAAATGAACGAGACCTCTTCTGTTTCAGTATTTGTTGGTAATCCTTTAAATTCTACACTAGCATGGCAAGGCTATATTCTCATACAAACTGGGAAATAACTGATTTGTAGGTAATTAACATTTGAGTCTCCATTACTACCCCCTCCATTATACCTGGTGTCATTGGAATAACACCAAAGGATTGCCAAGGTTTTTTTTGCTTTTGTTTTTTAGGACATTGAGCAATTTTCAGCACAGGTGTCTTTGATAGTTTGATTTGCATACATTTATATAGTGTAAATTGGGTGGTAAACACAATACAATACACAGGGCGTGGCCTGGCCAGTGTGTTTGAGCAGCAACCCATGCACCAAGAGGTCGCTAACTTGATCCCCAGTAGGAGGTGTGCAGGAGGCAGCTGAACTGTTTCTCTCCCCTCTCCCTCTCCCTAAAATATAAAATATATTTAAAAAGAAAAAAATACATATTCAGGGGATGTATTGTAGAACTATATACCTGACACCTGTAATTTTGTTAACCAATGTCACCCCATAATTTCAAAGTATAGCGCCCTGCCTTGGCTGGCATGGCTTGATTGTTGTCCTGTGCTGAAATATCACCCAGATTCCGAGTCAGGGGACACAGCACATGCCCTAGTTGTGGGCTGGATCCCCAATTGGAGGCAGCTGATGTTTCTCCCTTTCTCATAAATAAAAGTGTCAAGACATTTATGATTGGAATGATAGAGGACTGAGGGTGGGGGAAAGTTTTAACAGCTAAGATAACCTAAATAAAAGGTGAATGATAACATCACATACCTTAGGTATAAAATAATCACTGTACTTGAGGAAACCAAAATATACTTATAGGAACCTATCCTGTAGAGCTGAAACCAGCCATATTTTGAGCCTCATAGCAGTCAGTGTTAAAATTTAAACATCTTTTGATGACAGTGTATAGTACTTGGAATTTGAGTCCATAACCTATCCTTACATTTAAATTCTGGTTAAGTTCTCTTCCCAAAAGCAAGCACAAAGTGGAAAGAAACGGAAGGGTTTTGGGCAAGTTTTCTAGTGTTTAATTGCTTTCTCATAGGCAATTACTTTGTAAAACAAGGACAGTGTAACTCCTTAAAACCTTACACACACAAGAAAGCCCCAATATTTTTTTGGCTCCTAGACCAGTTTATTTCTCTCTCTAGAATTCAGAGATGTGATCCAAAAAAACTTCACATAGGCCTTTTACTTAACAAACTACGCTAGCAATTATCAATGAAATGAATTTACATGCCTTGCTTTTTATTCCAAACAACAACAAAAAATCCCATCTTTAATATAAGGGTGAAACAAAGGTTAGGAATACATAAACGTAAAGCACTAAACATTAACAATGTTGGAAGAAGGGGCAGAGAATGAAAACCCTAGAAAGAAGAACCTTTCCATCTTAGAGATGCCAATAGTTGAATGAAGACAAAAAGGTTGCTTTTACTTCATCTATCAGTGAGAACAGTTTATTTCCTGGGATTCCTAAAGGCTTTACTAGACCTCCTGGCAGAACGCCATTAGATTATTCCTGAGCTACCCTACTCTGCTGTCTCAAGTCACAGCTTCCCTATTTCAAAATATCTCAGGGATTTTGTAAACGAGAATATGATCAAAATGCAATATAATATTGAAATTTGGGAAACCAGCCTGGAAAAAGTGTGTCACAACAGCTGTGAGAGCTTGGGTTACATTTAACCTCTTCCATTAAGAGTCACAAAATACTTTTTGCAATTAAACCTATCTTATAAATCTATTAAATCTCCCCTCAGTGAACCTTAGATTCCCTTAAAAGTTTAAGCTACAAAAAAAAATTGCCCTTTTGGAAAAAAAAAAAAGTGCAGTGCAAAACTGACAAAGATGAACTAAATGAAAACTCAAGGACTCTAATCTGCCATTTTCTATATATCTTGGCCAAGTTCAAAATTAAGAGTAAAAATAACCTCCAGTTCAGGATTGAAAAACATACATTAACCTCCAGTTCATACCTCCCCTTAATATGTGTATTCTGCTATATTTTTGAAATCTTTACAAATCCATATTCTTAGATGAATAACTTTAAATGTGGCAGAAACATGACAAAAATATGAGTGATGGAATCAATATATAGGCAAATCGCCCTCATACCCTAGTAAGGAACTAAGGAATCCAAAACATTTTGTGATACTATAAAAGTTATTTATTCACTATACACAGAACATGTCCCCTACAAAATGTACATGTCAATCACTAAAAAGTATAACTTGGCGAACATTTTCAGTTACAGAACATACTAAATCAGTTGGGATAACAGCTGTCTGCCTCAAAATAATCTAATTATAGCACCCAGTGTCCTGTATATCTAATGCAAAATGAAATACTTTGGGGGGAATTATTTCCTAATGTGTGTTTGAGGAGTCAGTTAACAATTTAATATAATTCTAGTATATTACAGTCACTGCACAATAAATCAATTTATTACAGATCAAAACATTTTTTCATTATTTGTATTAACGGGATGCAAACAAAAATACCAGATACTTTTTAATGGCAGGTAACCACAAAATTACTTATCTTTGATAGTATATTGGGTTTTATAATTACATTAGGATAATGGTGTAAAATATTGTCAAACAATACACCTCAAAACAATGAGGCCATACTGTAATGTTATTCACTAGATTGTGCTCAGACCTTCATTGAATAAGTGAATTTTAAATCTATTTTCCTCCCAATTATCCGATACAATTTTTGCTGATAGTAAGGGCTCAGTAAATGTTTGCTGAATATGCTAAGAGGTGAAAAGAGATGTGGAACCTCTTAACTGGATGTCAAGTATTATAATTAGAATTTACCTGGGAATAGTGTTTAAGGAAGATGTAAACTGCACATGGCATACAGGTAAATAAACTCAGATGCCAACAAAGCAAACCATTAAACAGTAAAACACTGGCACTGGAACAAAGGCAGTATTTGCCAATAGCAAAAATGTATCTGACTTTAAGAGATAACCAAGAAAAAGTTTATATTGGACCATGCCTTTTCTCACCCAATTTAGTTTCAGACAGACCAAAAAGAAGCACTGTAGGAGACTTACGGCTGTCTACCGTGATATTCAGACATCCTAGTTTCCAGTAATTTATTACGGACCTGTTATCCATGAATCAATATAAACCTATTCAGATTTAGGGATTAGTTTCCACAAGTACAAAGCTGAATTTCCTTTTATTTGTCCTAAAATGCTTACTTTCAAACTTGAAGGGACTTCAATTATTCCATGTAGTTTCAATAACATTCTTTTATCTTTTCAGACCAGAGTCAAAATATTCACACAGTATTCATACTGCAGCACCTTCCACCCACCCTTTGGTCGCTTGAACTGCCCTTCTTTGGTTCTCTTTCCGCTTTCTCAGATCTTTCTTGAAGTGCAGTAAGCAGAACTGTACTGGGAATTCCAGCTGCAGTTTGGTCTTAAATAAAAGAAGGATGTTTGTCAGTTTGGTTTTCTGTATTCTTCTCTGTGGTACACAGGATTTTGTTAGTTGAACTGGAGTAGCAGCTTACTGGGCCAGATTTTCAAGAGAATAGTACAATAGTTCCCAGGGTTATACCTTAATAGCTCATACACTATGTAGCACACCTTTTCTTTCTCACTGAGGCATTATCTGTCATTTCTCTTCTTGCTTATTTGGCTTAAAACAAAATGTAAAAAGGGAGGTGAAGTGTCATCCCTCACTTGAGTCTTGATGTTTTAATATATTAAGCACAGTGCCAGACACACAGTAGGTACTCAGTAATAGTATAACTCAAGTATGTATCCCCAAATTAAAGCACTGTGTAAGGATCCTCATCAGTATCAGTAGGATCCTAACATGGGTTCAACTATAATATAGTCCTTTTGAAACTGTTAGATACCTTATTTCAGAAATAACATAGATGAGTCTAAAAATAAGAGACACATGTAAAAAAAAATGAAAATATAAGGTCTTTTAATTCTAGAGAGACTGAGAATCATATCCTCAATCTATTTTTCTCAAATTGTAGTCTATTAAAAAAAGAAAACAAACAAAAAAATAACCATCCAACCATGAGAGGACCACGTCTGGACTCAATAATCTGGCCCTGTCTTTGTGCCTCAATTTCCTTATCTGTGATATGGGGAAAATAAAAGTATCTTTCTAATAGGGTTTTGTGAAGAGTAAAGGAGCTAACACATAAAAAACTTCTAGAACAGTGTCTGGCACATCATAAATACTCAATAACTATCAGCTATAATTGTTGCCATTATTTAGTAGCTGGAATTCAAACATCTAAACCAGCTCCCCAAAATAGTTACCACTTATTAATTGCTCATCAAAATCAATGTAAAAGCTTTTTAAACCATGCCATAAACAAGATCTAACATATCTTGTTTAGAACTGGGGAGAGCAGAATTATTGGTCTACCCAATTAAACTTATAATTAGCTGACCAAATTTCACTTTAATGCATATCTTAACACTACTAATAACCTCTAAGTTATTTAACCCAAGGGGCTTTGACATAACCTAAGGAATTTTTAAGTACAATGTAAAAGATGTACCTTACTGGTAAGTTCTATTCATTTCCAAAAAGTTAGTTGTGCCTAGAGCAACACTGATTAAAACTATTCCTCAATCTACAAAAGACTGTTTCCATTGTTATTTTAGGATCTCATTAAAAACTATAATAATTCCAGTTAATCATTATTTCCTTCATTTTTGTTTTTATTATAGCATGTTTGCTTCATTTACAGCAAGCAGAAAATAAACTGGGTCTTATTTTGATCCAAACATTGATGTTTTAAAGGTTGTACACAATATTAGTTAAAAAGAACATATAAAAATACCTTTTTAGAAGCTTCTATAAGAAAGAAAATACAGTTTAACCCCACAACTTTCCTCTTTGCTAGAACTGCAAACTACTGCTACAGTTTTAAATAGACTTTTTGTTGTTTAAACTATACATCCAGGAAAATCTAAAAAATTAAAGAAACGTGCATATAAATGATTGCATAGCAGAACATGAACATTAACTGCAAAACAGTAAAGAAATGAGAGTTAGAAATACTATCAAATATACAAAGGTTCTAGAATCAACCCTTTAAACACATTCCACAAACAGTATTTAAAAACCACCTTTTGTTCTTTACAGGCAAGGCCTAGATTACTAAAAGCAAAATTGAAAAAAGCAATCCTCTAAAAGGAGTCGTTTTCCCACAATATTTCTTATAACCTGGCAAGCAAGCAATCTAAAAATTTTAAAGATGCTAGCTTTTATTCTGAAATGAGACTGGACACATCAAGTAACTTTTATTGTTCCTAAAACGATCTCTCAGAGAAATGCTAGAAATTATGAATGGTTAAGGGAATTTTTTCCTCATTTTTAGTCAGGTACTACATCGATAATCAAAGACTCAAAGATGTGACTTGTACTTAAAGTCAATTCTTTTTCATGGCACCAGAGAATCACCTAGAATGGGAGTGTTGTCTTTCAATTTGCCTCACATTAAATAAACAGATGTGAAGAACAAGCCTCCTTCATAAAGAGGTAGGCAAATTTTGATACAAATGCACATACACCTAGTGCTATATGCATCAAAATTCAGTTCTTTTACACTATGTACACAAACTTCCGGTGAAACAATTTACTTGCTTTTAACAGCAGCAAAAACTAAGCTATTATGGTCAACAATGTTCTTTCAAGTTTAGAGTAACTTAACTACGTAAGAGCATCATTTCCACCTCAAATTTATTTGTCATCATTGACCTGTTCAAATTTTAAGGTGAGTTTTTCTGATGTTTGTATATTTCAAATCTTCTTAGAAACCAGAAAAAAAAGCAGTGAAGGCTCCATGTTTCAATAAAAAACTCAATCTCCCTGGAAATGCTACTTAGTGAATTTCATAAGTATTTGTCTGCAAAGCATTTCTCTATTCCCTAAGAAGGTGGGGTTAAGAAAAGAACTACTCCACACTGTGTCATAAATTAACTATTTTCACGGGCCTAGACATCTTAACAAGACAAAAAGGTCCACCCTGAACCTAAATGTGTTTGATCACTCAGTGTACTGTGGCTACAACTTCACTTTTGTATCATTCTATCTTATTAGCAAGCTATATTTCTAGGTTAACAGGTCTACCAAATATGGATATAAGAGTTTATTTTTAATAAGACAATGTTGCAAATTATGGTCAACCAACATCTTTTCACCAATACTTCAAGCATAAAAAATGAGAATCTTTACAAAAATATACAGAGACACCACAAATTGGTAGCTGCCCATAACATTAAACAAACTGGACTCTTAAGAGTGGCTTCTCAACAGCATATCACTTTAATTATAACCATTGCCTGGTACAGGGAAAACTGACAAATGTTTTGTAAGCATCATTGCAACATTGTATTCCTGATAATTTAAGTAAACCAAACTATGAGTAAATGAATGATACATGCCTAAAAATATCATGGTTTATACTATCAGTGGCCACTGGACTTGGGACTAGTCCAAGACCTTGATCTAGATTTTGACCTAGACCTAGACTGTGATCTTGACTGAGATTTGGATCTAGGTGGTTCTTTTTTCCTTGGTTCCTTTTCATATCTTGAGCCAGACTTATAATGTGTTTTGGAATCTGTTTTAGAGGTGCCTCTAGTTTTGGTGTGAGATGCAGACCTAGAACGTGATTTAGCCTTCATTTCTTTCTTGGGCTGGGACTTGGACCGTGATCTTGAATTGGATTTAGATCTTGAAAAAGATCGATTTCGGTGTTTGAATCTTTCAAAACAGAGGAGAGATACAATTAGAGTAAAAATTAGATTCTATATTAATCAAATTTATTATTTTTAGAGCAAAAGTTCACTCTGAAATTGAAAAAATGTATAAGTCTCTTTCAAAGCAAAGTTATTTACCTATCATTGTCGGAATGGCTTCTGCTACGCCGTGGTCTTCCGGTCGGTCTACTGCTAAAAAGTACACCAGAAAAAGCAAACAGTGACAAATGTCTATTTACAGTCTTATAAAGTTTCTAATTAAAAAAGTGAAGCATAAAACTTAAAATATTTAGTCTCAACAAAGCATACAATGTATAGAATTAGAAGTACACAAAAATTTTTAAAAATGTAAAGCTAATGAACATAAATCTTTCTTGATAGATCACTGTGCTACATCACACTTACTTTCTAGGACTATAGGATCTTCTATAGTTGTAATCAAAGGACCGACTTCTTGATCTCCTTCTTTCATAACTTCGGCTTCTAGAACGCCTGTATCTGTCATAATCATCATAACGTGAAGAACTGTACACATTCCTCCCTTCCTTGGCTTTCATCTGATTTGGAGCTATGAAATACACAGAACAGAAACACTTAGAAATATATAAATGACTTTTGAACTAAATTTTGTTTTGGAATCATCTCACTCTGACTTTCATTCATTAAGAAAATAATTAACAATGATAAAATACTTACTGGTAACCTATGAACAATGTGTGTCAAAATACAGTAATAGCCCTAGCCGGTTTGGCTCAGTGGATAGAGTGTTGGCCTGTGGGCTGAAAGGTCCCAGGTTGTAGGCGCCATCCCACAGTAGGGGGTGTGCAGGAGGCAGCCCATCAATGACTTTCTATCATTGATGTTTCTCTCTCTCTCCCTCCCTTCCTCCAAAATCAATTAAAAAAATATTTTAAAAAAGGCAGTAAAATATTGTCATACAATTTTAAGAGGCCACAACAAAGAAAAGCATGAGAGCTAGCATTTACTGAATGCCTTAGACACACCCACACCCCTAAATATTTATGTTATCTCATTCAATTCTAAGAAGCAGGTATTTTACATATGCGTGTACGTATGCATAAATAACATAGTGAACACCCAGGAACCCATCATCCGACCCAAGACCTAGAGATTACCAATAGCTTATGTTTACCTAAGCACTCCCCCTCTCTTCTCAGCTATTTTAATCACTATATTTTTGTATCTTGTTCAAGGTATCAATGGTTGAGACAGGATTAAACCCAGGTCTATCTGATTTAGCACAGTTAACACCTGCATACTAATAAAAACCACTAATATAAAATCTATTCTAGGTTTAATCTATATAGCCTTTCCCAGTCTAATTCATAGCTATATACATAACCACCCAATTAAGTTTTAAAGGAAGAAAAATAGCTCAAGAGACCCAAAATTTTCTGAATTTTATCCTTCAATTTCACTCCCAGTATATTAAACATGCCACAGCTGATAGCATCAATGTACTTAAGAGTCCAAACATAATTCAGGCATTCCTATCTCCACATTACCTTATGTCTACCCCAAAACTTTGAACGACCCTTTCACAGGGGTCATCTAAGACCACCAGAAAACACATATAATTACATAATGTTTTTGTGATTAATCACTATGCTTTAATTACGTTCAATTTGTAACAATGAAATTGGGGGTCACCACAACATGAGGAACTGTATTAAAGGATCGCGGCATTCGGAAGATTGAGAACCACTGTTCTATCTTTTCAAATGACGCTTTATAAACGTATCAGGCATAAGGGTACTTACTCTTTCGATCTCCCTGTGCAAACTGTATTTCAATTTGGCGACCACAAATCCATTTTCGGTCCAAATTATGTAAAGCATCTTCGGCATCACGAACATCTTCAAATGTGCTAAATGTTAAGGGGCTTGGGAAATTTTGCGAACTTTGATAATGAGTGAAAGTTCACTTGGAAAATCTTGAACAATTCACATTATTATTAATCTCTCATTATTACTTTAGAACATCTATCAGACCCCTCACTAGCTGGCTGAATCAGCTATAAATACTTCACAATATTAAAGCACTTGTGAATTTCCAAGGCATACAATTGAAAACACATGTGAAAAAATAGTCAAACTATTATTGAAATAAATTATAGCTGAAATAACCAAATAATCCTATCAAAAAACTTTCCTGTTTTAAGAATTAACTTTACAAAATAAGACAAAAAGAAAAACAAGTATCAGTTCTGTTGTATGTTAAAACAAAAATCTCTTAAAAAATAAAACCAAACTGTTTTTCCTATTTTTATTTCAAATGAAAAAAAGAAAATGCCAATAGTTCTTGTGTAAGCAAGCAGAATGAATATACCTCACCTACGAGAGGAAAGCATTAACCTTAAATTTTGCTGCTTTTTCTCAAACATATCTAACACTATTGCTTAACGTAGTAGTCTTCCTTTATACCACACAGGGAAGAATGGGAACGAGCCACTTGCAATAATGTAATCAAAACAGAATCAAGCAATACTCAAGATATCACTGTTCCAAACGTGTATTACAGCCATGCACAGACACGCATGCTCTCAAGAAATAACTGACCATTTCTATAAAGATTCCTGGACTGAAAAGCCGTAACATCAATGATACTAACACAGCATCCAACCAAGAAGTGAGTTTGGGACTACCTTTAACCTGAGAATTTCGATATCATCTAGCAACATAAAGCAGGAACTCTTGGTCCCCATTTTTTTTTAATATATTTTTATTGATTTCAGAAAGGGAGAGGGAGAGACACATCAATGATGAGTATCTTTCATAGGCTGCCTCTTGCACACCCCACATTGGGGATGGAGCCTGCAACCCGGGCGTAAGCCTGACTGGGAATCGAACCATGACTTCCTGGTTCATACGTAGATGCTCAGCCCTGAGCCATGCCAACTGGGCTCTTGGTCCCTGGTTTTTTCTCAGAGGCTAAGTTGCCTTGTTCTCTCAATGTCAGCAATACCACAAACTCTTGGCTTTTCAGTTATTCTGTCTAAATTTAGTGCCTTTCCTAAAACCACCATTGTAATGGAAGCCAAGCACATATTCAGAACAGTACTTGATGTAAAAGCTTTGGAAAGGGAGCTAGTTAGGTTTGAGTGTGGATTTTCATTCTATCCTAAGGCACGATTTAAACTTGCCTATTTTTCTATTTCTTAAATTTGAGATATTTTTGAGAGCAGAGTGAAAACTACTCCAAGTGACACTTTCCCTCCCTCTCGACCCCTTCAAGGCTGACACTAATATTCTTTTTCCCCAGAGACTAAAAGGTTGGCCTCACTAGATTTCCTATTTTTTTGTTCTGAAATAAATTAAGGACCATGTGGGTTCCCAGCTCCCCTTCCTGAGGACATTATTATATGTGAGTTAATGTAGAGGGAGAGGTTATTCCAAGTCCAAAATCATAGGACCTTCAATATGACAAGACAAAGACTGACTGGGAATTTAATACTGTAACAGATCAGCCTTCAGGGTTAATACAGTTGGGTTCTAAAATAATTAAAAGAAACAGGTTCACTTAATGGGTATACTAATTTATTTGTGACTTCAAGCAACAGAATGTAATAAATTTTTAAGGGACTTAGATCAAGAGGTGTAAAAATTATGAATGAGACCAAATCATCAGTTTTAGCTATCCTCAAAACCAGAATCCTGGATTGGATGAACAAATGGCAAGATTCTACTTTACCTTTAAGAGAAGGCAAGTGGCCACAGAAGGGGCAGCCAAATGTCACGCTGATGACACATATGGAGAAATTGCTACTCAGTCTTCTTAAAAACAAACAAACAAACAAAACAAAACAAAAACTACTTTAAGAGCATAGAAAAGACTATCCTATATAATAAAAGGCAAATCAACCGAATTGCAAAACAACCAGTTGCTATGATGTGCACTGACCACCAGAGGGCAGACGCTCAAAGTAGGTGCTTCCCCCTAGTGGTCAGTACCGGGAACCTCTCCCGCCTCTGTGGGGAGTGGGCCTAAGCTGGCAGTCAGACATTCCCTGAGAGCTCTGGGACTGCGAGAGAGCACAGGTCAGGCTGAGGGACTCTCCCCAAGTGTACAAATTTCGTGCACTGGGCCTCTAGTATGTGTATAAAAAAAAGCACTTTTCCTTTAGATGACAACTCTTTCTGTCTCAAGTATCACATACTCTTTGAGTCAAACTACTGCTGATCCTGGGTCACAGGCCACTCTAAAACCAGGTCACAACATTGTAAGCCAGAATGCATTGCTACTTAAAAAAAAAAGTCAAATCAGACATCTTTTATTCTTTGTAATACAGCTTTGCAACAAACTGCCACAACTGTCCTTGATCACTGGCCCTGTGGGAGTAGCAACTTTCCACATGTGCTCACTAAGTCTCACTAGGATTCCACTGTTTCTTCCTTTTTTTAAATAATGTTTTCCCATTATTTATTGATTTCAGAGGAAGGGAGAGATAGAAACATCAATGAGAATTATTGATCAGTTGCCTCCTGCATGCCCTCCCCTTGCAGATCAAGCCTGCAACTCAGGCATATGCCGTTATCCGGAATCAAAACTGGGACCCTTCAGTCCTCAAGCCTAAGCACTGAGCCAAACCGGCTAGGGCTCTGTTAAATTTCAAGAGACTTACTGAACTTAAGCAATAAGAAATAAATTTCCCTAGCCTGAAGTACACAGCCCAAACCTGTCTCAGAGAGATGATCTCAGTGAAGTAATGTCACTGTGAAACTCTGGGCCAGGGAATGATTTCCAAAGGCCTTTTCCAATCTACTCAGAGCCAACTGATCATAAGTGCTAAAGCAGTGCATGGTCAGAAGGAACCACAGACCCAAGTTCCAGAAGTTAGGAAGATGTGTGTGCTCCACAGCAGCCACTTTAAAATCTATAAACAGGTAGTTTCTCCAGATCTGACCCTGCAACACAACCAGAAGCGTTTCTAAGTAGTTCCCAGTGCATGCATCTCTCTTCTTTTAAGCATAAGCATGGCTCTGTGGAGTCAGATTGACCAGAGAACCTCATGCTACTACTCTAAAGGGCACTACCTACTATCCTATGGCATCTGACCACCTGGTCCAAAACAGAAATATGCTAAATTGTATGCTTAACACATTACATCCTGGTACACTTTAACTTGCAAAGCTAAGAAAGTGCATTATATAAGACCACAATCACAACATCAAAGGCCCACATAAATCAAGTTACAGGTTTTGTCCCTAGACCAAACCAGAATAATTTTGAGAATTAACTGCTTACAAAACATGAAGGGAAGAAAAAAAAAAAGGAAAATAGTTGTTCTGTAGGATACATCAGGTATGATTCCTTTAATCTTGGCCATCATTCAACTTCATCTTGACCTTTAACTCTTTAAGTGCTTGTCAGAAGGACTTGTCATGAGATGCTTGGCCAAATATGACAGATGGCTTTATCTTTAACTTTGAAAAACAACCTTTTCCCCCTTTTGTAGATAAAGCGAAGCTTTGTCTCCCATTAGGCTTGTCCTTCTTCCAGCTTTTCTTTACTTTTTCTTTTCCCAAACTCTCCCTTCTCTTCAAGCCTGATCCTTAAGAGGTCTTTGGCTTGTCTACTTGCCTTAAGTGTTGAACTCTACTCTAAAGGTTCTTTCATGCTTTCTCTTTGGGGTCGCCATAACTGTACAGCTTTACATTCTCTGAGGTAACAACAGAGGACAGCAAATTAGGGGACAATATTAAAGAGTTTACCTCATTGTTATACAATTTGTTTCGATCAAGTGATTCAAATTAACAAACAAGAATACCAAACTTTTCATTGCTAAGCACAAGAACATATTAACTTTTAATTTGACTTACATTAAAGGTGGTAGAAATCAAGAGTGTATTCAAATTAAGTCACATGCTATAATCATTGATTTGAGTTTCAGCAGCATACAGGGGAATTTAAATGTCTTACTATTTTGTATTAACTTACACAGAGCAATGTGAGTTAGAATTAATTTTAAAAAATGGAAGACATAGACATTAAAGGACAAAAGTAAACTACTTTTTAGATGTTACCTCTTACATAAACTTGAATTTCAAACTTCAACACCCCTCACTAATCAGCCATCTGAAGAAAGGATATTGAACATAAGCAAATCCTCTTGGACGGCGAGTGTAGAAATCAAGTGGAACATACACATCAACTATAGGACCATAACGACCAAATTCACGCCGTAAATCTTCAGACCTAAAACATCATAAAAAGACCCCAAATTTTTATGTTCACTTCCTTAAAAAGACTTTCTTTGTAAGAAACAGGTATCTTTTTTTTTTTTTACTATCTCAGTTAATGAAAAGGGCTGTCTGTGTCCCTAGGTGACCTGAAACAGACAAGCTTTCTAAATCTCAACATTAAGAGCCAATTTTAAGAATATATAAAAAAGATACATAGAAGCAATGTATCTTTCTGATAAAGGAAGGCTGGAATCCAAGATTTAGTAAGGTAAAAAAATGGAGTTTATGATAAAATCCTTACTGTTTTACAATACCAGGAAAACAGGCATTTAAGGGTACTTGATCACAATTTATCTCTATTGTTTATCCACATCCTTCATTTTTCACAAGGCATAGTAGCATTAGGTTGTATGTAGGTACTGCTAACGTGTTTAACAGTTTTAAGTCAACTCTATGCTCTGAATAATGCCAAACACACTAAACAGTTCGAAAGTAATGTTACAAATACATATACCTCCTTAAAAATGTCAAATGACAAAGGGCAAGTTTTTCTAGAACGCTAATCACTACTTACTTTCCCT